CACGTTACTGTATATGTAGAGAAAAAATAATAAATGGTATTCATATGGAAAAGGAATTAAAAATACAATGTTTTCATAAGACTTAGAGAGAATATAATTTTGATGGAATATTTAAGAATAGTTGTTGGAATCAACTAGATTTAATTTAAAAAGTTGGTCAAAAACTTGCTTTTTTAGTAAACTGTCCAATTATTAATATAAGATCATAAAACAGAAAATGGTTTTTTAAAACATTTTTGATAACGAGTAGTCATCATTGCTTACCCAATGCAATGATTCAAACATTTCTATCAGTAGAAATAGTACTCTTTATCACATAATATCAAAAGCTTTTCTTTAATTTTCCACCCCTTCAATATGCTTGAATGGTGATAAACCAGAAAAGGATTTTGCTCTAAAAGTTTTGTGGCAAAAAATTCACAGAACATGGCTCAAAGAGGTATCGTTCCTTAATTCTTATATCTGGTTGCCTGTACTAGATGGCTCCAGTTAGTCAGCCTCAAGGTTCTAGGCCTAGGGAAAAAAAAATAAGGCCCTGTCAAGTCTGAAATCATGCATACCTCCTGCTTCAAAAGATTTATTACTATGAAATAACATTTGTAGCTCTTTTATCTGCAACTTTAGGCAGTGTACAAAGTTAAAAATATATTAAGAACAAAATATATAATTATAAAATACGTAAAATATCAGAACAGTACACATGTTGCAAGCCTTTCCCCTGGCTAAATCAAAGTGATATTCATCCATCTTTAAGCCAGTAGGAATTTTTATTCTTCCAATCTTGCCTTTCTTGGTTTCTATTCTATTGGACCACTAGGTGGTGGTGTTCTGATCCTAGTTGGCCCTCTTAAGTAAAGCCATTGGTTGAAGTCTCTGACCTTTCTATTTTCTTCCTTTCTGAATGTCACCATCTGGCAAGAAAGCATCTGTCAAATATAGAATAACAGCTGATCCAGGGAGTGGATGACTTGTCCAATAAAGTAAGAGGACCTCTCCTACTTTGTTGACTCCCAGCTAGTTATTAGATAGCTCCTCCCACACTCACAGCCCCAACTGACAATCTGAGCATGCTTGATTGCCAGGTCTGTAACATTATTTTGCTCCAGCTGTTGCTCAGTTCTTCACTGAAACGGCAGGGAACTGCCAATACAGCAGCTCTTTCTTCCAGGAAGAGAAAATGGCCGTAGAGGAGAGTGTCTGTATCAACTACAAGAAACAAATTGTTGCTGGGCGGCCCTAGTACAAAAGGGCATCAGATATGATCCTTTAAATGCTGCCGTGAATATCTGCTGACTTAATAGGAAAACTATTTTAAAACAGAAGCAATTAAGTTAAACAACGTAAGGGTGATTCATTCATGATCTGGATGTGAGATGAAAATATGACAGACATATTTATAGCATACCACGTTCCCCATTCATGTGGGAAAATATTACAAGAGCAAAAATAATCAATTTGACTTAACATTATGGATTCTCATATATCATGATGAATAAGTATGATTTTAGCTGTAGCAAGATCTATATATGTATGTTTTATTTCAAATGGGAGGCCATTCTAGAAAATTAGTGCTACAGTCACTTCAGGATGAAGTTTGACTGCATCTTTGAATTTATCCTTCTCTCAAGAGTTTATCCTTTCTATCTTGATATAAGATACATGAAACAAACTTGACCAAGAATCCAGGCACACCAGAATAGAATAGAATAACAGAGGGAAGGGACCTTGTAGGTTATCTAGTGCAACCCCCCACCCAAGCAGGAGACCCTACACCATTTCTGACAAATGGTAGTCCAGTCTCTTCTTGAAAGCTTCCAGTGATGAAGCTTCCCCAATTTCTGAAAACAATCTGTTCCATTGGTTGATCGTTCTCACTGTCAGAAAAGTTCTCCTTATTTCTAGATTGAATTTCTCCTTAATCAGTTTCCACCCATTATTCCTTATCTGGCCTTCAGGTACTTTGGAAAATAGGTTGATCCCCTCCTCTCTGTGACAGCCCCTCAAATATTGGAACACTGCTATCATATCTCCCCTGATCCTTCTCTTCACTAGACTAGCCATGCCCAGTTCCTGTAACCGTTCTTCATATGTTTTAGCCTCCAGTCCCCTAATCATCATTGTTGTTCTTCTCTGCACTTTTTCTAAAGTCTCAACATCTTTTTTATAGTGTGGAGACCAAAATTGGTTGCAGTATTCTAGTGTGGTCTTACTAAGGCTTTATAGAGTGGTATTAGTACCTCACATGATCTTGATTGAATCCCTTTGTTAATGCAACTTAGAACTGCATTGGCTTTTTTGGCTGCCGCTGCACACCATTGTCTCATATTTAATTGATTGAGGTCCCTCTCAAAGTTACTGCTATTAAGCCTGTATGTGTCCTTTTGGTTTTTCTTGCCTAAGTGTAAGATTTTACTTTTCTCTACATTGAATTTCATTTTGTTAGATAGGGCCCAGGTTCAAGTATGTCAAGATCCATCTGGATCTTGAGCCTATCATAGGCTCATCTATCATCTAGGGCAGAAATGTCAAACTCACGATGTCATGTGATGTCATGCGACGTATTGGGACTATTTTACCATTGCTGGCAATGGGGTGGGCGTGGCTTCCACATGACATGTCTGGCCCACGGGCCAGCAGTTTGACACCCCTGATCTAGGGTATTTGGCTATTCTTGCCAGCTTAGTATCATCTGCAAATTTGATAGGTTCCCCTTCTATTCCCTTATCTAAGTCGTTTATGAAGATATTGAAGAGTACTGGGCCTAAGATGGAACCTTGTGGTACCCTTCTGCTTACTTCTCTCCATGTGGATGTAGTGCCATTGAGGATGACTCATAGAAAAAAGAATTTGCAGGAAACAAACTATAAATGCCATTATTGCTGTAGCAGCTGCACTGGCTGCCATCTAATCTCATCTTCAATCTGCTGTGATGCATAAATGTACAGGTTGTATAGAAGAGTCAGTCCCAACCTTATCAAATCTGTGTGAAGCCCACTAAAAGTCATCAGGGAGAAGGGGGGCTGGCACCCAATTCAGAATTCTCAACTCTGATTGGTTTCTCTGTGGCTCAGAAATAAAGCAAAACCTGTAGTAGTCCTAAACTCCATCCCAGCTGACAGCCCTAAAGGAATGCCATGGCAGATGGTGACAAATGCTTCTGAAAAGTATAAAACCTCCAGAGTTCTGTCTCCTTTCTAGATTTCCTATCAAGATGACCAAAAGATTGGAAGAGATACATGCATTCACATTATTTCTGGAAAACTTTGAAAGGAAAAGAAAAAGAAAACAAATGTGTTCCAAACACCTATAAAGGATGAACACTAGATTTTCCTTCTACATGCTGTATTTCCTCATTATTTACAGTATTGCATAGAAATTATGGCTCCCTCTAGTGGAAATTCTAAATGCTTATGTTTTTATAATTTTACATTTTAAAATATATCATTTGATAGGATAAATAAAAAACTCCAGATATTATCTAACATTCTTTCCTTGACCCTTATTTAGTCATAGTATTTCAGCCTACATCCAACAATTGCATTCTAGGAATATGTTCTATACAATACATATTAATCCTATAGCTTGGAAAGACAGCTAAAGGAGAGAATATAATTTCTATTTATTTGAGATAATTCATCTTCAGTTCTTTCTTTCCCTTATAAAAGAGGCATTGAAGCTGTAATGAACTTACACTGCAACTACTTTGTGTGATAAGCCAATAGTATACAACAGTTTTCTACCAAAATTTATTTTCCTTTTGCTATGACTGGGGATGAAATCTAGAAAGTCAAAACTATTATCTTTTTGCAAGAAGTAGCAATTTGAATTGGACAGCACTTCAGATTCAAAAGTAAATAGGTGTCTGAGAGCATGCAAACATATGACTGCAACTTCCTCAACCAAGCCCATGTTTCCTGGTATCATGCTGCTTGTAGAAAGCAGTTGTGAACCTTCCATAGAAAGGTCCAGTTGCCTTAAGGAGCTGCAGGTGAGTACTACATAAATCAGTGATGGCGAACCTTTTAGAGACTGAGTGCCCAAACTGCAACCCAAAACCCACTTTTTATCACAAAGTGTCAGGGGCCCATCAGCATTGTGATGCCCTCATGGGGGGGCACGCAAAAACCAGGGGTGCAAAAATGGGCCACCATGCTGCAAGGCACAAAAACAGCCACCGTTGCTCCGCAGGGTGCAGATACAAGGTGCTGCACCAAGCAAGAATGGGGCAGGGCTAGTGAGTATCATGCAGGCACTAGCCCCGCCTCATTTGCAATGCATGCATACTCGCACCCCCTGCGTGCACACGCACATTTAAAATACTTCCCCCTCCCTTTTCTTCCAGTCCGCCAATTGACAATGGTTGGTAACCTCTACTCGAGCTTGCTAGTCGGCTGCTTCACCTCCTTTGTGCTGGGTGGGGCTCCTGCTCTGGGCGGTGGTGGCGGCCTGATGGACCTGTTGCTGGTAGCGGCACATGTGCCAACAGAGAGGACTATGAGTGCCGCCTCTGGCACACGTGCCATAGGTTCACCACTACTGACATAAATCAAATCTAAAGTATGGCACAACTCTTGCAGCAGTCAATCAGATAAAATTCATCAGTTACAATGGGAAAAGATAGATTCCTTTCCTATTTTTTCCTTGGATATATTAGACTACACCTTCCAGAATTCTCAGCCAACATACTTAAATTGTAGTATAATAAATTGGAGGGCAACTACTTTTAGAGGAGGCTGCCTAAGGCAAAAATAGGTAGCAAAATTCCAGATAACATGGTGGGTGTGTGAAGTCATCAAACAAGACATTCACATAAAGCCAAGACTTGAACTATAAACTGTATTTGTTAAGTCTGTTTGATAGATGAAAACACATTTGATAGACCTTTAATATAAGTTGGTAATTTTTTTGATTACTTTGGACCTTTCCTGATAAGTGATAATCAGCTCAAGGTCAAATCTAAGGTGTGCAATCCGATTTTTTCACAAACCTTTTGCCTCAAATGCAAGCATAGAAATTTTGTCCAAAAATAGTTAATTAATAGCTTGCATAGGTTATTTTAGTTCAATGAAATAAATAGGTGACCCTGCTGAATGTAAGTAGTGGCCTTTTGAAATTGCCTGTATCAGTCTCAGACTTTCATTTCATTTTTGGAATTTATTATAGTTATCTGACATGTTGGCTTTGCTTTTGACATGGGGAGCAATGATAATATTGTGCAGTAGTTTGTGGTATGTTTTGAGAGTAAGAAGAAGGTAAGGAAAATTATTTCAAGCGTTCTGTCATGAATTCTGATTTTCCTTCCTTTTAATTAAAGATTTCTTTAAAAAAAACTATATGTTTAACACTTTTATTAACTAATTGTTACAATGATTACAATGATTGATTGTTCATTTGTATATGCATGGGAAAGTAACATAAATGTATTATATGTATGTATATATGTATGTATGGTATGTATGTATGTATGTATAGTATAGACATTATAATCATATATAGATGATTCATATTTTGTCATGAATCAGCATTTTATTCAAAGGGTTAGATAAACTGTCCCAAATTATAAAGGATATCTTTAGCATGGCAAATAGATTTCATTGAATTTTATTTACAATAGGTCTAAGGCATTCTAATTATTGGGGCTATATTAAGCTTCCCGACTGGACTCAAATCATTGAGTTCTTATCAGTTCTCTACTATCTCCTCAATAGATTTATCCCTCAGGGGAGGGCAAAGTACCAAACATCAAGGCAAAACCTTAATTTATACTGTAAATTTACACTCTGTGTAAATATGAATATATATTCCTTTCTTTAGACATCCAGGGGAGCCACCTTTGGAGAATGGAATGCTGCCATATCTTGGCTGTGCTTTACAGTTTGGGGTCGATCCTCTCAAATTCCTCAGGGAACGACAAAAGAAGCACGGTTCCATTTTCACATGCCAATTGGCTGGAAAATATGTCCATTTCCTCACAGATCCATTTTCCTATCATGCTATGATACAACAAGGAAGAAATCTGGATTGGAAAAAATTCCATTTTACAACTTCAGCAAAGGTACTATTTCAAAAGAATAATTATAATAATTAAGTTCTTTTTCTGTTAAATGTGGGCAGGGTGAAGGGCTCAATTTAAAAACCATGCCACCAAATACTGATTGGTGTGGGGTTTGGGATTGTTAGCACAATATAAGGATGCTATCCCAATATTCTTCAGATCCAAGCTTTTAAGCCCAATAGGATGAAACCAAATTTCACATTAAATGTGATTATTGTTTTGTCTTATTTATAGTTCAGTACTTCAAACTGCCTCTACTGCTTTTACAACCTAGAAGAATCTTCCTTAATGTATATAGAAATTGATTCTCTTTATGGATTTTGATAAATCAATGCCAGCATATTTAAAGCAAATAAAGCAAGAATATAAATGTAGGATTTTAACTCTCAGTTTAGTGATTGGCCTGACTGATTCAGGGTGTAATTTTGTGCTCTCTTGCCTAATATATCTTTGCTTGCAGGCCGGTATCAGATGAGTTATATCTTTCAAATAAAGACACAGTTCAGTGTCAAATTTTATCTCCCCACCTTTGTAATTTAGATTACTGTTGGAAAACAGAAGTGTAAACACTGCTTTGTTCAGAATACATACAATAACAGCAAATTATTTTCAAGTATAACTGTTCTGCCATACAGACAACCATTAATATGATGGATTTTTAATCTGGAAGATAAGTTTTAGATTAGTTTCAGATTTAGTATTTGCTATCATTTTCTCATCCAGCATAGAAAGCCAATGATGGATGTAAACCCATTTCCTATTGTAGATGAATCTCCTGAGTTTAAATGGTTACTAAATAGGGATTCTAAATGGCTGTACTCTAACACTCAGAATCCATCAGTAGGCAGTATGTTTAAGTATACCTCCTCCCTAAGTTTTTCTTTCCCTCTTATAAATTATAGAAAAAAAATAAAGTGCTTTCAATTTCAGATGCACAGGACAGACAAAACTCTAAGTAGTGCATTCAGTTCTATCTTTAAGATGATTTGTGGTGGGTTAAATGCTATCAAAATAGGGTGAAAAGAGAGGAGAAGAGATTAGATAATTAATTAGTGGCAATTAATATTCTCAATATTTTGTGACAGGCCTTTGGACACGCAAGCATTGATCCAAGTGATGGATTCACTACTGAAAATATGCACCATACCTTCACAAGAACATTGCAGGGTAATGCCTTAACATTTCTCAGTGAAACTATGATGGAGAACTTGCATTATGTCATGGTGGAGTCAAGTGCAAGAAAAATGAACTCCAGTGACTGGGTCACTGATAAGCTTTATGAATTCTGCTGTCGTGTAATGTTTGAATCTGGGTTTTTAACACTTTTTGGTACAGAATTTAATACACATCACGACAAGGTCCTTGCTTCTAGTCAACAAGCCCAGAGAGCACGTATTCTCAATGCCCTAGAGCACTTCAAGGAATTTGATCAAATCTTTCCAGCTCTTGTGGCAGGTCTTCCTATCCATCTATTTAAAAATGCTTACAGTGCACGAGAGAAGCTAGCTGAGACTCTGCTCCATGAGAACCTTCAAAAAAGAGAAAACATTTCTGAACTCATTTCTCTCCGAATGTACTTGAATGATACATTGTCCACTTTTGATGATATGGGTAAAGCAAAGACACATCTTGCAATCCTGTGGGCATCGCAAGCTAACACGATACCTGCTACATTTTGGAGTTCATTCTATCTTATTAGGTGAGTTCATACAAATGGTGGTCTACAAGAATACTATTTCTATTATAGTCAGTTTATTTACTGTTGACTAAGTGGTGAGATTAGTATTAGTTGATATGCTGGATGAATGTTGTTAAATACATTAATGATATTTGTTAACAATTCTCTTCTGCCTTTCTGGATTTCAGACCCTATTCATAAAGCATGTTATTAGAACTCTATAGAGAAGGACTGTCAGGGGACAAGTAAAAAGAAGGATCAGACTAGAATCATTATGTAGCCACAGAGAAACTCCAACCTTCCCTTGATTTCTGTTGACCTATTAACCAGATGCTGAATGTTCATTGAGATGATTCCTGTACGTAGGCTTTTAGCAATAATCAATTAAATTGAACCTTCACCATGTGGACCTGGTCTTTTGCATCTGACACTATAGACATGATAGATATGGTTTGTTAATAAATGAGCAGTGCAAATATCCTCAAAATGGGAAGAATTGAACAACCAGCTCTTTTGCAAATGTACTGCTGTAGGGTATTATTTTGTAAAACATTATTTATATGTTTCATTTTTTGCTATAAAGCCTAGGAAAGTCTTTTCCAAACCAATATTACCTAATGACTTTAAATCAGAACTCTTACAAAGCTTTTGCTGGACAGGAATTCAGGATTTGTTATCCTAGGATTTGGGGACATCAGCTGGGAAAGGCTGAACCAGAGAATCTTAATTTGCCAATTCCATGATGGCCAGAAATCCTCTCTGAAGATAAAGAGTCTCATGAAACCAATATTACAAAAGGAAGAGAATTAAAATGAACTCTAAAAAAGGCCATTTATATTTGCTCAGAATTAGATTGGGTAAATACACTATAATGCAGGGGTGTTAAACTGCCGGCCCATGGGCCGGATGCATCATGCCGAAACCGCACCCACCCCATTTCAGCAATGGAAAAAAAGTCACGATACGTTGGGACACGTCACGTGATGTTGCACATCTGTTATAACGGATGCTTGCAGCATCCTAACATTTGGCAATAAAATTTAGGAACACTGGTGAGATTATTCTGATGATACATGGTCCCAATTGATCCGTTCACCTTTAATCTGACTTCCATAAGGGTTAATTGGCTTATGTATTCAGGAAAAAGGATGAAACTACATAATACCTCCATAGAAGTTTGATTCCAACAAGACTGGTAGTTTTCTATCATCATCAGAAATACTAGCTCTGCAGGATTAGACATGATTCTGAACCACAAAGTTGGAGTCATGGTCCAGATTTGGGCCTTAATACTTGGACTATTAGCTTTAGGCTTCACAATTGCATTAGGGACACGTTTTGGAGAACTGAACTGAATCCTAATAAACATAAATGAATGGTTTAATATGCTCTAAGGGTTGTAAAAGGACTGAACTGCATACCATATAATAATTGTGTGACTTGTTTAGGTATAATTGCTGCAGAAATATAAATTTAGTTCTGTTAAAGTTACAACATGCCAACTTCCAGGTTATGATGCTTGAGTCTCCAGTACTTAGGATGAGATACCTTCTCAATTGTGTCCTTTTTGGAATATATGAGGTTAAAAACAAACTTTCAGAATACATTTTGATAGTGAGATACTAAGACTGAAAAGTAAAATGCAAAGCAATAAAGCTGATCATAGACAGAATGTAGATAGAATACTTCCATAGGCAAACTGAACCATGCAACCACATTTTCATAGCTGAGTCAAGAGAGAAATGTTGCCAATGGCCATACTTCCTATCTTGGTTATTTAAGATATGATTATCCTGGGCAAGGTCTGCCTGTAACTCAACACAACCTGGAGCTATTTCTAAGGATAGGGCACAATGACTGTAATAATGCATTTTATTGATGTTCATTGTATGGCTTAGACTAATGTCTAGCATCGCCTTGGCAAGATGGACAACACAGATGATTAATAATAAACAAATAAAATAACGTGAATATTTGTATTGTGATGTCACTGTGTCTTTCTCTTTCAGGAATCTCAGTGCAATGAAAGCAGCTACAAAAGAGGCAGAACGAGTGCTAAAAGATGCTGGCGAAAAGATCTGTACAAGCAGGAAACCCATTTGCTTGAATCAAAAACAGCTGGATGACATGCCTATATTAGGTATGCTTGGTTAACTTTTACTGAAATATATGAACTCCCATCTGCTAGAATTTAGAAACCACTAATCATCAGAACAAATCAGCTGGATAATAGTCTTAATCTTGCTCTAATGATGAAATATAGTATGCTTGGCTGGAACAACAATTCATGCATTGATTTTGTGTTTTCATTTTTACTGGATCAGGTTTGACTTTAATATCAATATAGTAGCACAGCTGTTTATCTTACATTTAGGTGAAAGTTCATTTTTACTTTCTCTACATAGACAGCATTATAAAAGAAGCACTAAGACTCTCCAGTGCATCCCTGACAGTCCGAGTTGCAAAGAAAGATTTCATTTTGCAATTAGGCAGTGATTCCTACAATATCCGCAAAGATGACATCATAGCTGTTTATCCCCAGCTGTTGCATCTTGATCCTGAAATCTATCCTGATCCACTGGTGAGTTTTCCAACAAAACAGTTTGCCAGACTACTAACAGGAAGAAATAATTCTATATTATAAAACAATTTGGGTTTTGTTCAGTGAATTCTCCCACAGGTAAGAACTTAATATCATAGGCAGAATAATATCAGTATTTGTCCAGGCTCCATCTTTGCCTTAGTATTAGCAACAATTAGGTGCATTAATACTTTTCATTTGTAATTATATAATTAATCAGTTTAAATATCACCCCAATAATTATTTCAGTTTTAGTTTCCTAAGACATTATGTTTTACCAACGTTGATAAACTACTGGGAAAGAAATGGACTGAAATAACCATTCTATCCTGAGGTTATTAAACAAACCATGTTCATAGGTAGAAAGTGTTAATGTACAGCACACTACTTTGGATATAGTAAGACAGATTCCATAAATACCATAATTAGCTGCCAAATAATCTTTTTGGGTGATAATTTTACTAAAGTGTACAATACAAAGATGAATACAAATACAAAGTAAGAAAAATATAAACAGTAAAGAAAAAGTGCAAAGATATAGAAGAAAGAAAGAAACTTCATATATTCTTTCATACCATTTTAAATATCCCACGGGAAATATTCTTTCAAGTCCATCTAGCCTTTAACTTTCCCAAGTCCCCTTTTTGCTATTTTCAAAAGTTTTTTTTCTTTTTATTCCTTAAATTTAAATAAAACTTCATTAATCTAGGATACAAGGAAACTCCCAGCATGATAAATCTAGCGTTCAGAAGATTATTAATAACCAAGCAGGTAACTTCCTAGAGTAGTTAAGAAAGATAATAGGTTACCTATTAATAGGATTTAATCCAGGGTGCTTTTGAAGGCGCCAAACCATGGCTTAGGTATGATGATTTTCCACAGATTCCCAGGACTCTCAAATCTGCAGGAGATTACTATGTTGCTATCTCTTTGTGGGGAGCTTGTGTATAAAGCAAACCTGTGAGTAATTTGAGCCCTCTCCTTGATTGGAAAGGAGTTCCAAGGAGCCAATGCATTCACAGGCTTCTCCCCCCCCCCCATATCCGGCAGTTTCATTCATATGGATCCATATTTAATCTGCCATTATTCCCCAGAAGCTCATAATTTTCATGAAAGTTAAAATTAAATGATAATGCATGTGTATATATGTATGGAGAGAGAGAGAGGGGGGAGGGAGGGAGGGAGGGAGGGAGAGAGAGAGAGAGAACGTTTGGTGTAGTGGTAAAAGTGCTGGCCTAGAAACCAGGAGATTGTTAATTCTTGGGCCACCTTAGACAAGAAAGCCAGCTGGGTCATTTTGGACCAGTCACACTCCTTCAACCTAATCCAATGGTGGTGAACCTATGGCATGTGTGCCAGAGGTGGCACAGAGCCCTCTCTGTGGCCCCCCTGCTGTTGCTCCAGCCCCGCCTCTCCCTCTTCTTACTAGCAGCCCCCCCAGAGGAGAGTTGCCCCCAAGTGCGGCCCATGCAGAGCAGCACAGCCAAGGACATGGCAGCTGGGCAGTGGAGACAAAACTCCACCGTCACACCCCGTTGCGTGCAGTTGATGCTGTGTGCCGCAGGCGGAGGGGGGCTGCCATGGCACTGCTGGGCCACCTGGGTGATCTGTGGCAGGCCGTGGAGGCGGTGCGGGGTGCGGGGCACGGGGATGGAGTGGGGTGGGCGGGAGGTGGAGTGGGGGGAGGTGCAGATCCGGGTTTTGGGCACTCGGTCTCTAAAAGGTTCGCCATCATTGGCCTAACCCATCTCATATAGTTAATTGTTGGGAAACTAGCAGGAAGGAGTATTAATGTGGGTTTCCACCATGAGCTATTGATTAAAATCATAGAGGGATAATAAATAAATAAATAAATAAATAAATAAATAATATATATATAGATTGAAAGAGAATGATTGTTGCTTTTGGATCCATACTTATTAATGATAAGGAGGAAAAAACTTACTCCCTAAAGAATTTTTGTAATAAGTAGAAAGCAAAGGAAAAAATATCTATATCTATAGACAGTGATAACATTAGAAGTGACAAACTAAATGCAAAATATCAAGGCTATGGCTACTCACTGGGTTAAAAAAAAGGAAGCAGAGTTTATTGCTTATTTCATCACCCAAGATTTTCCCACTTCAAAGTGCCGTTTTAAAGTATATTAAAGTGTTAATTTGATCTGAAATTTTTATATATTTCCAACATTTTATCCAATATTTTATGTGAAAGTTGTTTAATATTATAAAATATATTATCATATTTAATTTATCTGGCTAGTATTCAGCAATTGATTTCCAAATCATCAGAAAAAAGAATGCACATACAGTTTTCATTTGCAACTCTTAAATTATCTTAAGGTTGCTGAATTAGCACATACACTGTTTTGAATTTTGTTACAGACATTCAAATTTGATCGTTATCTTGGAGAAAATGGAGAAGAAAAAACTTTCTATCGTAATGGTCACAAATTAAAATATTATTATATGCCATTTGGAACAGGATTGGCAAAATGTCCTGGAAGATTATTTGCTATTAATGAAATCAAACAATTTCTGAGTTTCTTGCTTTTCTATTTTGAAGTGGAACTAATTGACAACAATGTAAAGTGCCCTTCTTTGGATCAATCGCGAGCTGGACTTGGTGTTTTGCAACCTTCAAATGATATAGATTTCAAGTACAGATTAAAACTTTCATGAATGTAAAGAGCACTATTATATCTTAGCATCAGTCCTCCAAAGAGGTAGAAAGGTCCATTGAGTAAAAGTGCTGAAATATACTAGAAAAAAATTAGACAGCTTGGAGAAACTGCTATCACTGTTTTATATGATTGTATAGGAAATATTTTCCAGTGTAAATCAGATTTCTGGACTGATTCTTGTGAGTTCTGGGGATAATTCTTTTCACTAAATCTGCTTGTATTGGTTTTGAGACCAAATCAGAGTAAAGGGGAAAAAATGAAAGAAGGATATAAATTGACCATCTATAACCCCAAAGCCTATGAGACATGATTACTTCACTACATTTTGAAAAACAATAGATAACTTTGTACTATGCTGCCTTTTACGTACTTGCAAATAAAGCTTGCAAACATAAGATCATGTGTTAGACTTTAGGTCACTGATAAAATGTGTACAAACTCATCCTAATACCAGATTAGTATGAATATTTTTTCAGGCAAGGGTGGTACAGCTTGCCTTATTGCTTTTGTAGACTCTGATCTTAACATCATCCCAAATGAAGGTCTGGGTGTTGTGGATTTTTGTTTATTTCTATATAACTACTGTGTATAGATTTTATTTTCTTCAATAAAATATTTTATTCATTCTGGAAAGCTTTAAGAGTGTTTTCTTATTCTTCAGCTCAGACAATTTTCAGTGGTGATGACATCTCCTATTATAGAACCAACCAAAATCTGCTCAATATGTAACATCTAAAAAATATTGAGAGGAAAATTTCAGGAGGGAAATAAGAATTCTGGGTTATGAGCAAATAGAAGGTCACTGTCAGTTTACTTACTGATAGACCAAAGTAACCTCACACTATTTTCTTCTTTCTCTGGCGCAGTCAGCAAAACTACACAAGCTTCCTAATACATCAAACAGAATACTGGCTGTGCTATTTATTTAACCTATAATAACCTTCAAAACAAGCAGGCAAAGATTTTTTAACATGAATAGTGAAAAGAAATAATAAGAATTCATCCTTCAGGCCAGCAAATGGATTCATGTCACATTTTTTTTTAAAAAAAAAAATATTACTACAGTACCTAGCCAAGTTCCTTTTCTTAGTCTAACAACTGTTAAATCAATGCAAGGAGAAATCCCATCCACATGTGTCACCTATCTAGAGTCAGGGTGAGGGAACATAGTTTTGAAAATAGTGTCTACCTTCAGTTGAGTATTTTCTATAAGCAAATGCACAGAGGTTAGGCAAAGAACTTTTAACATGGAAAAAGGATGACTGGGAAAAGATAGAAATGTACTGAATAAAATTACACATGGCATGGAGAAAGTAGCTAGGGAATCCTTTTTTTCTGACTCTCAAAATACTAGGACCTGAGACAATCCTATAAAGTAGAATGGAAAGACATATAAAATAATCACAGAAACCATTTCTTCACACTATATATGTATGTATGTATGTATGTATGTATGTATGTACGTAGGTCTTTGGTTATTCGGGTTTGCTCCCACGTAGAATTGGAAGTGTCTTGGCGACGTTTCGACGAAGTCTTATTTGTCATCTTCAGGCTGGTGCTTTCGGCTTTGTGCTTCCAGGAGCAAAGCTGAAAGCACCAGCCTGAAGATGACGAATGAGACTTCGTCGAAATGTCGCCAAGACACTTCCAATTCTACGTGGGAGAAAACCCGAATAACCAAAGACCTACATACAAACACCCGCGAAAACCTCAGAAAACAAATATATATATATATATATTCTTTACTGATTGTATTGTTTTGAATTTTTTTTAAAAAAAATAATAATTGTAATATATATTCTGAATTGTAAACCATCCAGAGTCATTTACTGAGATGGGCAGCTATAGAAATTGAACAAATAAATAAATAAACCTGTAGAATTCATTACCAGGGTGGTCATTAACATGAATGGTTTTGGAGGGATTCCACGTAGGAGTTGCATAGAGGAAGAAGGCAATTTGTTTGTCTCTTGCTTGTAAGCACCTCAGAAACATCTGATTGACTGCTGTAGAAACAAGTGATTGAATTGATATAGGCCTTGATCTGATCCAGCATGGCTACTTATGTTTTTACATCACACTTTACGCTGCAGCACCTTCAAATACATGTATGTACCAATCATGTTATTCCCTTTTGGAGAAAGCAAAGTTAGACAAATGCAGAAAACTAATAAGAATGAATAAGGTGAAAGAAGATGAAGGCATGAACAAAGAGAAAAGAAAATATAGCTGAGTAGAGGTTATGCCAACACCATGGCTATGCATGTATCCTATACATTTCTATCCCTACGTTTTCAGTTTATATATATTTTGCTTTCTTTACTGCATTCTTTGCAATTATCTTTTCTATCTATACATAAACCAGTGTTTTTCAACTTGGTCATTTTAAGATGAGTGGATTTCAACCCCCAGCATGCTGGTTGGGAGATTCTGAAGTCCACACATAAAATGTTCAAGTTTGAAAAACACCACATTAAACTATTTGTTTCTTTCCTCGTGTTTTTTCAAAAATAGTTTCTCAACTGATTTTTTTTCTCATCCATAACCAATTTAAATTTTGTTATTCTACCAAGCATATTTTTAAATATTTCCACTGATGGAGACTTAAGTTATTTTACTCTGTTCTAAGCAGTACCTACATCCTCTTTCTAGTCACTGTGTTGGGAGATTAATCTATCTTTTATTTATTTTATTTTTTTTGAGACAAGAGCTGTACTTTCTCTTCCAACCATATATCTTTCATTTCCATTCTTTCATTTCTTGCTTTTTCTTCCTTGTCCATTTTTCTTAAGATCCCCCCCGAAACTGCCAAAATATGATTTGACCCACATTCAGAACCTTTTACCATTATGTTTCACTAATTCATAAGGAACCAAATTAAACATACTTTATTGATTCATTACTATTTTATGTATATGCATGGATGGACTGGTGTGTAAACCACAGATTTGAAAGAAGCTGATATTTCTCAATGACAGTCATTCTTTTCAGTTGTTCTTCAGTCTTCCAAAGGTTAGTCTATTTCTATATTCTGCCTTCTCTGTTATTAATTACTGCAGCATAAGATGTAATTATCAACATATGAATTTCTATTATCATACACTATAGGAACAATCTAGCTCAAAGGTCCCCAAGGCCCAAGCTAAGGACTGGTACTGGTCCACAGCCCATTGGGAACTGGGCAGTGCAAACAGTGTGCAAGTTCATAAAGCTTCATTTACACATGCACGAGAGCTAGGTTGCGCATGCAAACCCATCCTTTCCCCCCTATTGCCACTGCTGCTGATTTGTGGAGCCAGAAGGGTTGGGGATCACTGATCTAGATGGCATCAATTCATACTTTCTGACATACACTACATTTGATTTCTTTCATTTATAATTATAATTCAGCTTCCCTTCTACATCAGTGCACAATTGCACAAGATTATCTTCATTCAGATCTAAAACACTGTTTTTATTTTTTATTAACTGAACAAATATTTTTTTCTTCCAATAATTTTATTCCTGCTCTTTACCATACACTGATCCTAAATTCCAAGTCATAATCTACTTTATGCTCTGGTCATAGATACTGAATTGTGCCACCTGTCACAGCTTTTTAGAATAGAGAAAGTTGATTACAGCCTCAGTCTTACCTATGCCACATGCAGCATTCTTTGCTAGTGTAAGAAAGGTAATTACCATTCTTTAAGACAAAGCAAGATGGCTGCTTGATAATAAAGTCTCCAATCTGGAAGTCCAATTTAGTTTTAATTCGTGCTTTCTTCCCTTACCACATAAATCTCAATATTCTTTGCTCACTTCTCATCACCTAAGAGATGGATTCAGAATACTGACTCACTTATGAATTTGGAATTACCATGTGGTATATTATATATCATATACCATACAATTTAAGAATATAAAGATTTTTATCTCTGTCTTTAATACCATACACATATAAGGAGACAATAGGTAAAGAAATTCTCAATTTATGTTAGGATTGCAGACTTTTTGAAGGCTCTAGCCAGACAGAGTCACCTAATAAGGGACATGGGCAGCATAACAATTTAATAAATAAAATAAATAAATATTACTTTCTCTAATCTGATTCCTTACATATTTTGGATATGTTAAATATGCTATATAGTATGTACTCTTCCACAAAAAAAAATAGTTATCTGAGTGGCAGATTAAAATATGTCCGGCTGTATTATTATGTTATGCTAATATTTCTAGCATTATAATTGTCTTTCTAAATTTATACTTTATTTTTAAAATATACAATAATTTAAAACAGATAGTGTTTTCCATACAAATCTATTGTCATTCAAATCATCATATTTCTTGAAATGGGTTCTTTACACTGCACAATCCATCTTCAAACACCATGGACTTTAGCACTTCAACATTGTAAACATAAAATGGAATCTTCATTATTCCTGTAGAATACCTGGAACAACCTATTGCCAGCTTACTCCATAGAACCTTAGCCAATTTATCTGTATTTAAAGTAAACATTTCTTGGAAAAGACTTCTAGAAAACATTTAAGAGATTTGGAAATTCATGGATAGAGGAAAAACAACTTCCCCCCCCCACAGAAAAATTTGCAAACAGAAGGTTAGTGTTGATAATAGCATAATGCTTAATGAGCATTGAAACTGTTATATCAGAGATTTAATTGCAAATGTGTTTGGTCTTACTCTTCAAACAGATTTTTATTCAACAAAACTGAAGAATAGGTTGCATAATGGACTAGCAAGATGTGTTTATACACCATGGACATGTTATTTTTATATTGTTTCCAACACTCTAGACTCAATTTCATTGAGGGCCGCATCAGCACTGCGGTTGCCCTTGGGAGGCCAGGTAGGTGCAGCCTACTTGATGGACGTGGATGGAATGGGTGTGGCCTACTGGGTGGGCGTGGCCAGCTCTACTTCATTTGCATCAATGGTGGCTCTGGGGGCCTGGGCAGGACTGGGACAGATCTGAGGGTCTCTGCAGAAGGGGGTAGGACCAGGGCAAGGGCCAAGGCATGGTCCACTGGAGGAGCCTCACTGTTCCTCTCAGGCCATGTGGGGGGGCTGGATGGTGGTGCGGGCTGCAAAGGTCAAATGCCCAGCCTGGCCCTTGAGCACCCGCAGCACCAAGCTCAGCCTCATTTCCCCAAGGGGGCGCCCAACTGCACTTATCTCCTCCTCAAGGCTGCTGCTGCTGTGCTTGCTCTCCTTAGCCAAGTTGCTCATGATGGGTACGGGGGCAAAGTCAGAGAGGGGCCCATTCCCTCTCCATGGGAGTAGACCCAGCTTTGTATCCAAAGCTTCCTTAGCAATAGGATGATAGATCCCCAGGATAGGCCAGGAGGAGGGAGCAAGGGGATGGTGAAAGGGCAGCAGGGCAGGACTAAAGCAGGAGTTCCCTCAGATGCTCCCTCTCCTTCTTTCCTTCCTTCCATCCTAAGTACAGAGTGGTGGGAAAATATATGAGAGGAGGGAGGGAGAAAAACAGGCAAGAAACACAACTGGGGAGGTGCCACCCTTTGTGAGGAATGAAGAAATGCACCATCACCTGGAAGTAGCCAGCACATGGCTCTCACCTACTTCACATATCTGGCTTGGTGGGCTCTGGAAGATGGGATGCCATGAGCAGCATGAGAGTCAACATTACCTGTGCAATGCCGCCCAGCCCCCAGCCTGCCCAGTCTTGGCAGGCAGCGGAGTGCTCTCCTCACAGAGCTGAGAAGTTGAGCCGGGCGAGGTGAAGCTCATCAGCTTTACTCCTTGCTCCCTGCTAAAACTGGGCAGACTGGGGGCTAGGAAGCATTGCACTTCTCATCAGATTCACACACCCTGGCTCAGCTCTTGGCGCTGTGG